TCAGTTTTGAGTTTCCTCAGGGTTCTCCGCTCCCTTTGGGTGCAAAGGGCAGATTTTTCCAGAATCCAGCTTGTCTTGTTCCTTCCATTTCTCTCCCAAGGTTGAAAACATCCAGGTCAGCAACCATCGGCCTGAGCCTGGCTCCTTTTTGTGCTACACCCCCTTGGACGGCACCCGGAGCCTGGCCACCCCAGCATCGCTCCCTCCCCAGCCGTCCCCGTCTTTACCGACACGATGAACCCACCGGGCTGTTTGCGCTGCCGATTTTCCTCTCCCATCCCAGGGCGCGAGGCTGGAAGGATGCTAAGCGATAGATGGGTCGCACCACATCTACCTCCAAACCCCAAGGGTCTGACGTTCCCCAGAGGGCTCTGAAAACCGTAATAATAAAGACTGAAGGGAGCCTGGGTGGAAAGGGCTCGGGAAAGAGGCGTAGACATGGAGTCACGCTGTCACCAGCGCAGGGACTGTGCAATAGGAGAGGGCTGAAATCTGCTGTCTCACCATTGCAGTGGACCTGCCCCGGGGGATCAGGTCCTGGAGGGAGAGGAGCCTTATCTCTGGAGCCATCAGCATGACCTGCTTCCAGCCCAGGAAAGACCAAACCCATATATTTCTCCAGCAAAATCCTTCCCCTAGGAATTAACCATCAAGATGGAAGGGAACGACGATGCCGAGTCTGTGTGAGCGCTGCGCGGTGCCCAGGCAGGGCCCTGGCTGAGCTGCTTTCAACCTGCCCTCCACTCATCAGATGCGCTTCAGGGTTTCTCACCCGAGAAAGTGTCTCTGCAGCCCTATCGGAAAACCATTTCACACCCGAAAAGTGATTATTTTCCATCCTCCCCCATTTCTTTTGTCCTGGACTTTCATGGTGTTAAATATTTGTTCTGAGATTTTTCTCGTGCTGAATTCCCCAACTTCTTCATTCTGCATCTAATGATACATCCAAAAATCAATACCTGTCTGAAAACACAGTTTTTCCTTGGCTCCTGGTGATGGGATCTAGTGACAGAAGAATGAGCTTATCCTAAAACTTCCCATATTTTGACAAATTATTTCTTTCCATTGAAAAACAAAAAATGAACCCCTGATCCTCAGTGATGACAACTTTGCACGTAGAGCTCTGTTTTGGCCACAATTGCGTGCAGTAAGGGGCCTGCAGTAGAAGATTAGAAAATTGCTTTGAGTCTTCACTACATGATACAATCTCCGAATTTGGGATCGAGTTTGGGTGTTCGGAAGAG